TCCTTATAGTCGCACGGCGAAGCCAGCATCCTTCGGCCTTCGTAGAGCCTTTGCTTAGTTCTACAATCAAATCCGATTTATTCTAAAATGGCTTAAATGTAATGGCATTAGTTAACGAGTATCTAGCTATCCGATAAAAGAAATTGTTTATTATAGAAACTTGCGTAGGACTTCAGCTCATTAAAGAGGCGTTACGGCTAATTATTTCAGTGGTCGAATATTTGACAAATCGGCGTGCTCTGCCGGCGCATTTTTTCGAAGTGGTCGGATTCACGGCTCACATTAGCCTCATTTACATACTTTCCCATAGGTTTTAGTGTTTAACTTGAGGCGGCATCATTTCCATTATTTTAGATAGATATATATATATATCCAGTACCACGTCCAATGTTAATTGGTTGCATTTTCGAAACGGCCACTTATAGCAATAATTTTGAAGATTCGGTCTTCGGAGCTTTCAGAGTTTGACGTAATAAGCAGCATCGTGTGTTCATAAGCATGGTGGTGACAGCTAAGCGGTAAGGCTGTATGAAGGCATTTTACGTAGTGATTTATAGGAACACTTAGCAGCATATAAATTGCCTTCGTCTTTATAATGATGATCAACAGCTAGATTGTATTAGGAAGTAGAGCGCTTATCGTACACTTCTGTCAGCAGTACGTTTAGTCTACGAAAAAGCCATCGCATTTAACAAAAACAAATAGGCTGATTTCCGGCAAATGGAAATTGGTTCAGTTTCTCATTTCAGAGAAATATTCTGGGTCTTAGGTCCGGCATATAAGCCGTTGCCTTTGATAGGCCCACACGTTGCACTATTACGATGGACATATCATGCCAACGAGTGTTACAATTCGACCATTAAAATTTCGCATTGAAAAACTCATTTAACAGGTTTACTTGAAACAAATTCTAGTCCAGTCGCCTTTTGGGCATATAATTTCACAGTCGTATACTATAAAGTTTTCAATTTTACTTTGTTAATTCACAGTCATCATGTTCTTGCTGGTTTGCCCTTGTTTGTTTGCGATGACAACAGGAGGGCAAAACCAAGCAGCGAAAAACGCCGCCCTCATTCCCGGTGTGCGTTGGGGCACGCATCTGGCGACCCACAGTTCGCCCGAGTGGGTCCAGATGGAACGGCAGTTCGGATGAAACGGAGGCACTGCATGTACGGAGTGACGTTGAGTGACTGGGAACGAGTTTGGATTTTACAAAACCTGCCTAAAATCCTTCGTCAATCCTATGTTTGTTGAACGCTTTTATTCTCCATGGAGTTGATCTAAACTGAATAGATTTCGTCGCATATATCTGGCAAACATGAGAAAGGGCGTCCTCCACGTTTACGCTCGTGCAGTACAGTGGGGCCGATAGACAAAACCAATCTGCATCAAAAAACAGGCAGATACAGCGAGAGCAAAATAGACCGTGTAGCATGTTAAAGCGATACATTCAAATAACGCCTACGATTAAAATTAGCCAAGTTCTTTGTGAATCGAAACAAATACGCGATAAAAGAGCAGAGCAGAGCTTGTTAGAGGGAAAGAATTGATAGCGGAATTAACGGCCGATTCATCTAGGCCGGTTAATAGAAAGTCAACTTTTATTTGAAACGACATTGCAACGGGAATTATGTGATCACTGATCTGCTGCGCTTCAAATCAATCCACTCGCACAACAATCCGCTTATCCGCATTGCCTACTTTTGTTGCCAATTGTAGAATATACTATATTACATAAATACGTTTCTAATTATCTCAATTGCTTTGCTGGGAAAAGCTATTACCGATTTCCCACGTGTCTACTGCATACCATATTACTTTGCTTAAACTTTAATAAGTTTATGAAAATCACCTGCCTCGAATCGAGTAACCTTTGTACGGCCATTGGGTAGATGGAAATTATACCATGCCTCTATAGCGAACAACACTGCCCACCTAACGAAAGAATGGCAAGGGAATATATATACTTAGTATTATATTCCTACTTAATATATTATAAATATTGTTGCTTCACACTTTATAGTTATAGAAAGCCTTTATAATACTTTGTAGCGGCCTTTAGATGCCTAGTATAGGAAAGGATGAAAAACAGCTAACGAGCATTGGCGAAACCGTTCCTTTCGAAATGGAACTTTATAGATGTTTAAGCATGGTGTATGTGCCGGTTATGATTTATGCTGGAAGTCTAACGACGGGCAATACCCCTGTGCAATAATTTGTAAACAAAAGAAACCGATATTACCTCGGACGGTCTTTTTTTTTGGCATTAATATTTCTTTGAATAAGCGTACGGGATGGAAATTCGTACGGTCGCTGATAGACATAATGATTTCTGAAAATGCTGAAGATGTTTTAATTGTGCCGTTTGTTTTGCCCACTATCCGTGATCACTCACCTAGCGTGGGAAGATAGGTTTTCCCTTTAATATCTTTCACAGTTCTACGTTGAGAAGGGTGTTTTTCTGTATGCACCAGAGTAAACCCTTAGTCCGCAGTGACTAGAGAACGTTGGAACGTTCATCGCTCTTCTCCCAATGGAAATATATTCTATTAAAGCCACGACAATATAGTGGTACCGTTCTATAAGCTGTAATTATCAAATAAATATCTTAAACACAGATGATTTGTGTATGTGTACTTGCCAGGTCGTTCATGATTGGGGCGAAAATATTAGCAGTGTACATTTAGCCCTATTTGGCATAGAAATTACTAGTTTTCTGCTTTGTGGTAATTGTTTCGAGGGCACAGCTACGGATCGATAGTATCTTGTAAACTGCAATGTATCCCTACTGTTACAGTTACATACTCTACTTAGTATGTAATCATTACTAAACTTACGCAACGCCTATGTGCTAGCGGCGTTAGCAACTCTATTCTAGATAATATAGTCCTGTGTGCGCTTACTGAACTTTTTTCGGCCATTTGCATACCTATCCACGTATCATATTCCATGCTTCTATTTAGCATTGTATAAAACGTATTGTCAATGTCTTACATCACGCATGGGAACACGTCCTGTACGTTACTATGTGTACGTGATAGCAAATCCTCCAACGAAATGAAGAATATTATCCTCGTCTCGGGCTTTTGCCATTTATTATCTCGTATGCTGCCGGGTTACGACCAATACGAGGCTCGCCTAAAGCTCACTGAACTTAGATCATGACCATAAAATATATATTTTACAGATCTTTCGAGGCGTTAACAGAGCCAATAAGTTTCCAAATGCATAGAACAAATCCGACACCCAAGACATAAAACGTGAAAAACAGAGCTATACTAGTTCATATCTCAAGAGAAATAGCAAATTCAAACATTGATCAGTGGGACTCTCTTCGATTCACCCTGTTATTAAACTACATCACTGTCCGCTGTCCCTCCACTTTGAAGCTTCCCGTCAGTATCCTCCCGACCCTCTTATACGCTGTCGATAAAAGATGCGCCAATTGCTTTCAGCTTGTGCGACTATGGGAAGAAATAGGGAAACGCAATCGCTGGTTGTTCCGAAAAACGATGGTTGTGGGAATGGCGACGCCGACTGCAGTTCCGTTAGCGAGGTCCGGGATGCGCAGCGAAGCCACCACTCGTCTACAGCTTAGCCGGCAATGAAAGTAGCAGGGCAGCCAAAAGCCTGTGTTGCCTGCCGCGGCCGTACGTTCTGAAGAAGCCACCTTGTCACCATATATATATATATATATATATATATATATAAAGGGAGAAAAAGAGAGATGGCAGAAGTAAGAAAGCCGACTCGCGTCGTCGCTAGAAGAGCCCGCGTGAATGCTGCGCGATGGCTAGCTCCGTTTGTTGGAGAGTAGGGGAAAGGAGTCGCTCGAGCGAAGGGAATGACTAGGATTTAGCCGAAGGATAGATGGATGGAAAAGGAATTGATTTGGTAAATCCCTTCGTCGGGGATGAAAGGTACAAAAGGATGGCGCTCGAAGAGAAAACGGACCTGGGACAAAGAAAGGGCAACAAGAAGAGATGGAGGTGGGGAGACGTAACACCAAAATCATCATTATCAGGAGTAGTATTGGAAATGAAAGTAGGCCTGTTGAAGGAATAGAGAGGTAAATTTGACGGTAGCTGGCTAACGTTGGATCCATCGAACGAACGACGACATTACCGATAACCTGCCTTCGATGGAGAAGCTCAAAAAAGGAGGTAGAAAAGAGAAAGCAAGGAATGAATGACGACAACAGCGCTGGCTAGGACGACTGCCGAAAGCAGACGGACAACTAGCGATGCTGACATCTCCTAAGGTACAAGGATAACAACATCGCTACTAGTTGGTGACTTCGTTTCTGCTAGGGTGTTGCCAGGTGTTAGTGTGTCGCTGCCTTATAGGAGAAGAGAAATGGTAAGGCTTTGTTGGCAAAAAAAGAGAGTAAGCTATAGCTTTTGGGTAGATCGCGAATCGCTATTTGCTAAAGGTCCCAGAACCTGATCCTGTACGTCGGTGAGCTTGCAAAGAATGTAGTATTAGGGACATGTAGTTGCCTTAAGTAAAAATACTAAACCTCATCGTAAATACTTTTGTGAGCTGATACAGTCATTATTGGTAATAATGAATAATACATTGCGATGTTTTCACCTCGTACTGTACATGAGTACTACCCATGGCTGTGATATTTGAAGTAGGTTGAGCAGGACGACGTCACGAGAAATTTCCAATCAAAGAAGTAGAGGCCCAGACAAAGGTAACCTAATGCCCCATCCTAACAACCTATCAACGAGAAACTGTAAATGATGAAGTACTGTATAAAGTAAGGTTTACGATTTACGATAGTTCTGCTGCATTTTAAGCGGAAAAAAAAACAAAAAAATAGCCTGTAAGCAATGTCTTTCGAACCGAAGGAGAATTGGTGATTTCTTTTACGAATTACTAACATTTTACCACCTGTCTATTGTTTCGTAAACTGCAGGGTAATCAGTAGACGCCGTACTAGAAACGCATATTTTTCTCATTGAAAATGCTCGTATCTTCGTGCGTTACAGGTATGTAGCTTTTATTTATTAGCAGCGCTTTCCGGCTACAAGACGGATCAGTGCTGAATCACAAGGTAAACGCTACGTAGTATATTTTCCTGAAAACTGATAAGGGAATAGCAGCAAGACATTGTTAAGGTCCGCCGTATTCCAGCAACGCTTGGCTACATTCAATTTTTACATACGAATCCAGTGGATAAGTCTAGATTGAGACACTGAACGCTTTTACTTCGGAGGAACTCGCTTTGACAACGCTACTTTGACGCTCAGCTGGCGCAATGTGGGGTCAGCATATCTTAACTTGATAACCAAATTGTTGCTTCTTCGTCAGTCAGTTTCATAAGAGTGTGTTCTCCGCCATCGCTGAAACAAAGCCAATCCAGGCGACTACGGTGAGCCATTAGGATAGTGTGAAAATAGATTTACCCAGTAATCCAAATCTATAGCTTAGGATACAACGTTAACCATATATTTAATTTTGAATTCATTTTATAATTAACCGACCTAAACTAACCTGAATATGGACAGCTCATTATGTCTGATAGGTGATTAACAAGTATGGAATCTGTTCAATAGGTACGTAAACGCCTTGTAAGTAAGTGAAAATCCTTGCAAACATTGAAAAACAATGCCTGATACAGATTTAGCATATTACTGCAATACCCATCACAAAGCGAACCGCAAGTGTCATTCTGAAAAGCGGCGTTCGAAGTACATGGACTAAACGTGTGTATGGCTGTAGGGCCACCGTACTTTTCCGTCTCTTGATGGGACGCGAAACGTCTGCTTTGTTTCTATAATGTGCACGGGATATATATACTTGACATATGACTTATCTAAGTGTTATAAATTCGTTCTTAGCTCTTCACACATGTTCTTGTAATACATACGAAGCTGAGGCTGTTCGTACGACAGTCAGTGCGTCTCTAGCTAAATTAAGTCAACTGCTAATTACCTAATATTGCTTCAAATCTAATTAATCGTATGGGACCACTGCTGAAATGCTATTGTACATTTCCTAAAAGCGGATATTACGTCCGTCTTTTTTGTAAACACTTCCAGTTCCCCGCCTGACGGTACATTCTCGAAATGTTTGTCAGCTAGGCCGATCCATCTTTGTCCTTGTTATTCATGAAGAAGTGTATCTTGAAGTAAATTTGTTCGTGCAGCACTTTCTTTGGTCTTGTGTGAGGCATTCTCTGATGACCACTCAACCTTCCTGTAGTATAAAGCGGCCAATTATTTGTTATATTAGGTCTTTTGATAGGTATCCGGACTAAGAGAGTCCTAAAAATCATTTGATTACATTTGTTGTCGCTAAAAGCCGCTGTCGTTGAGCGAGATAAACACAAAAAAACATTGTCGTGAAACTGTTAGTTTTCAAAAACAGAATTTCCGTTCTTAATAAGAGCGTATGGTCTCGATGGCTAATTAATTTCTCTTATGTGTTACCACAGTATCTATTAAAAGAGCAAAAAGCATGCAACTATGGTGATTCGAATCCCAGCGTTCGAGCACTAATTGATTATCAGCATCCTAAGCATTATCATTTCGTTTATCATATCGTTTCATACGTCTGTTCGAGAGATTCTAGATAGATAGATGCTAGAGATAGATAGATAGATAGATGCATATCTATCTATGTATCTACCTATATATATATATATATATATATATATATATATCTATTTATATCTATCTATTATTATTATTTATTATTACAAAAATAAACTTCACTACCACGAAAATTGGTCTTATAACATTTTCTTAAAGCGGGCGATATTATTTTATTGGGGCAGCGAGACCCTGTCATATACTATCTTTCTAAATTATCTAAATTTCGGCTATTATCAACTCGCTATTTTGGGAACTTTTCGTACTCGATCGGAGGCTGACGGATCAAGTCCCATTCCCGCTCGGACACAACGGGTTTTAGGCCAACTATCACAAAATATTCTCTTTCTTCTTCAATGTCATGGCTTTAAAACGCCGAAACATCACGAATTTAAAAATCTTTATCTTACCTAAATACAATAATCTAACTGACAGCTGTTTCTAATAGCTTTCAAATCAGCAAGCGATCTAGTGATTCAAAAAACCAATAGACTAAAGGCTTTCGAAAGACCCAGGCATAAGTTCTGTCAATTAGAACTTTAGAAGAGTCCTGCAGACAAAGATCAAGACCATTTGCTAATTATCTATGCCGTGCCTTTCTTTGAATCCTTCACAGTCCCAGGAGGCGACTAGCCTTGAAGCTAGTTTGTGTCCTCAAAATAATACAGTAGTAGCGCACGTGGTTATTAAATTTAAGGACACGTGAGGAGGTCTAGGGTTAAAATCTAGATAACCTGCGCTTTCTGTTGGCACCGAGCTGTTTCAAAGCATACTTGATAAAAATTTGTAAGAAAGAAACATTTGTGAGTGCCAAGAATGAGATATTAAATGTAAGCTCTGGACACAAATTCAAGGTTTGCCCTGCAATAACAAAAGTAAGATACACCAAACAGAGTTTGGTGATTGTTTCCTAATGACTGGAATTTTCGTAATTATATGGTACTATGATCGAGAAGCACAAGGTCAAATCTGTGTTCGTAAATTAAGCAAATTATTATATTTCTTAATGATTTTTCATGGCGAAAATGGATATGCGCATAGCTTAAAGCAATTTTCTCAAACATCGTGCAGTACTGCACGCCGAAAGCTATCATCATTTAGATCCATCAAACATGCCAAGTTCATATTGAAGAACAAACGCTTCTCTGATGATACAAACCTTTTCATGATGTCAGTTATCCATAAAACAACCTCTAATTATAGCTCACCCTTCTCATCATATTTGGGAGCATTATGTTAGCCAATCGATATCACACTTCATGTCACGCAGCTAAAGAGGCCTAAAAAGCTAAAACAATTTGATTTTTTGAACTTGAATAATATTGTTCTTAAATATCTCTTCCTAAACACCCACTTGTGTGCAACATCTGAGGCCTATGGTTACCATAATTTTACGAATAAACATTAATTTCTGAGCATCTCCCTTTGAGAACGTTCAGGAAGAAAAATTCCGCAAGCGGGCATCAGTCATTTTTTAAAGGATTTCATCGAATCTCGTTTTCCAATGGACCACGTCTGATATACAGTATCATTTTTTGTAAAGAGTGTTGTATATGCTTGTGAATGTTTGCAGTCGGTTGGGCCAACACGGTAGCGGACTCGGATTATATATAGAACGTACGTTTTAACGATGTAACACTTAGATGCAGGCCAAGGCGGTGATGTTTCTTATCTGTCCAATTACGACTCGCTTCTGTCTAGGCGCTTGTAGTACACACGCACCCTAATGTTATGCGAGGTAATTCCCCACAGAATCGGCTACAGCAGCAGAATCGGCTGCTGCAGCTGCCTGAGCGTATTTTGATGGAGGGTTCCGTGCTTCTATACAGAAAACATAGCTATAACGCAGACGACCAAGCGAACAAAGATCAGACGGTAGAAATGTAATAGAAATTCAGCGCGTGGCGTTATGTGTCACACTTGACAAGCGTACGACAGAAACTGTGTAAAATCGACGCTACACCTTACAACATAACTCAATCTGTATTGATTTTTTTCGGTTTTAATTAGACCGCTACGACACACTGCCGCAAAAGCCCGCATCATTGCTCTACATTCGTTTCTATCTTTCTGATAACTATGAACATAATAGAGCTAAAAAGTAGTTGATAATATAAATCTTACTTTTGGCAGAGAGGGACGGGTTATTTTTTTTCAGTATAGAGACGATATTAATGGTTATACAGTTCAGGATAAAAAGGAATTGCAACGAGGGCAAAGAGGTTGAAGCTTGAACGTGGGAAGAGATAAGACACATGGTGTACAAACCTAATGGAGCGTAACGCGTCCTTAAAGGGTCTGTTCTTGGGAAAAGAGACTACTCTTATTCAGAATCAATACTTTCAAGAAGAAGTCTTAAAAATATAAAATTCGAAAGATTTCTAAAAAGCCCTGAACAAGCTTCTCGATCTAAGTATAGACGCTGTTAATTCTATTATATACTGCACTGCCTTGCAGCTGCAATTAAACGTTTCTAGCCTTCCTTTGTTGCCTCATTTCTCATGGATGCCTCTAGTTCTTGCAATAATGTCGAAAAATACACTTTTCGTAAAGTGCCAAATAATGATAGAATTTTCCAAACAATGGTTTGTATTAGCTACACCTCTACCTGAAAAAAATGGGTTTACAAATATCGAATGCAATGACATGTAATGTGGGTGCTGTTTGTAAGCGACAAGTCAAAATGTTAGCCTTCTGACGATTGATTGACCTTGTCAAAGTGGCTAGTTCGGCCAATATTAGCTCACACCACAGGAGTCTCCATCACAAGCTCGACGACGTAGCCCCGGGGCATAAAATTTGTTTGACCCATCGGAACTCAGCTATACGCGGAAGCACTGCGCTAGTATAAACAAGAGACTGCGACACTAAAAGGGCTAACGGTTATTAGTTGTGTGCGCTAATTAATGACAGGGAACTACCAGAAACAAGGGGCAGCTCCGAGCGTTTGACAGTTTTGAAATTTCCTCAGCTGTTTTACACTGCGTCAAACTGCATCAGTCACTGATCCATAAAAATAGCATATCAGAACAATTATTATTCGGTGTTTTGATTAATGAAATTATATAATATTTACTTACTCTTATTTCATGATGTTATAATTTTCAAAGGGGGTCTGGATGTAACAAAAAAAAAAACGGAAGTATGACCCATTATGCCTAAATGGAGATTCGAAAAAAATATACGATACATGCTATTTAAAATGGAAAAGGGCGAATCGAACGTGTCTTTGGATTTTTTTAATTTATACAAAATTTAGAAAATTCAGCTAGTTTTAAGTCACAATGAAATAGCATAGGACGCTGCTGTCGATCAAGGTACAGATCAATAGATGGCAAGCAATACAGTACAATAGACGAAGCTGTATTGTTTCGTATTGACCTTAAATGTCGCAAACATTTTAGATTCGACAGATTAGATTAACAGCCTAACGGCTGTTAGAAAAACCCAGACAGAACCATCATACAAATACTTGGAATTCCAGTTTTCTGAAATCGCTTGACAGCTAAAGGAAGAGAGAATTTGATGGGTAAATGTATCTACTGTCCCCGTGATAACCTAGTGGGCTACGTATCTACGTGCTAGTTGTGGCCTAGATTCGAACCCGACCATAGGCACACCTCGTTTCGTGCTTGTAGATAATCGTCTGATAGAACGTCTAATGGCGATACGAGACGTAGAATTCGACGCCTAGGGGTCTATGTAGCTTCATAAGCTGATAGCAGCTGATAAGTAGGAGAGGATGCGTATTTGCCCCTCCTAGAATGGAACAAGTGTACTGTACCTATAATAGCAGACGACGTATTGGTGCTCACAAGTTTCTACCTCATGGTAGAAAAATGTTATGCTCGTATATGGAAAAATACAAGTTTCTTTAAAGCCACATCAGAGATCAATACCTGACATCTTCGTAAGACATCTCTCATTGGCACAATAGTGCTAAAAGATGCAAAGCTTGGCGAACGAGTCAAGTATGGAAGAATCCAAGCCTAACCAAAAAGATGGCTTAGTCGAACCCCAAGAAAAATTTGAAGATGAGCTTTGTTACGTAACAAACAACATTGTTTTGCGATCACCTCATCAGGCAATTAGGATCATTGCTCTTTAATGAACTGGCTAGATTAGTTAACTAACATTTATATTACCGAGCAACACTTGTTCCGCGAAAATTCAGAAACTCATTACAAGGTATCCCTAACACTTTCGTTCTTGCAATAAACACATGGATATTTTTTTGTTCGGTGAATATTTTGCTTATAAGAAATATCTAAAAATGAGTTCTATGAATATTTTGAGCTTTGCATTGTCGTTGAAGATAGCCTGTGTTCACTTTTTCTTCAGTGTCCTTCCTATAGAGCGCAGATGGGTTAAAACCGCTTGGTAGGTCATTGCTGACGTACCGACGAGTTCTTATTGAGTTTGAGTAGAATATTTAATTTAAAAGAAGCTATTCATTCTGGAAGTATCAGGACGTCCATGACGTAGATCATCATACAGAGAAAAATTACATTCAGCATTTTAATTTAATTACTACATGTAGTTGCCAAGATGGCCTTCATCTGCATTTGAAAAGTAAACAACATTCACTGCCTCAAAAGACGCCTCTCAAATTTCGCTTTGATGTCTTTCTTGTTCCTGCTAGATATCAAGAGCAAATGGCTCATATGTACCGGAGAACGTCAGGCTATCTGAAAACAGGAAACCTTCTTCAAGGCTCGAGTATTAGAACCTACATGCGCCTGTTTCACGGAACACATTTTCGCTCAAGTATGCTGGAACATACTGTTTTTGAGCAGCATTCACCCATTATCAAAAACTGAACGTTACGGTCAAGCAAAGTTTCATATATATATATATATATATATATATAAGTTGAAATGTACCGTGCAGAGCTAGATAGAGATACAAGACGAACGTAACGATTTGCTCTGTTTGGCAACTCTTTTAGTCGTTGACGCACAAAACGAAGACTTCGATCTGACGAGATCTGTTGTCAATACAAGGATGTGGCTTCAGTGTGCGTCAATACGTCTTCGTAGGCCCACAAGTTACACTTTCTTCTCCCAACTACCATTGTATGCTCTCAATGCACGTGATAGAAACTAAATTTTCTATGAATACTGTTCCTTCGAGATTTAATTGGAAAGTACAAGTAATACAGTCGCTACATGTAAAGCCTCTAAATCAACCATAGCATAGCCTTAATAAAAATATACAATTATAATGCCTCGGATACGGTTACGGCAACCAGAATCACTTGCTGCAGCTACCACCAGTTTGAAGAGGAACTAGCTGAGCCGAATTGTCTATCCGGTTTTTTATGATTTTCTTTTCCTTTTTTCAGTAGTTCGATTTGCCGGTGTGAGATGGATGCAACAGTATGTCTTCAAATAATTACAGAGATTCGAGAAATGGCAAATGCATAAGTTTGCAAAATTCGTGTTATTCGTGCGCCTGCGTTTGCCATTTATCTTCTGTGTTTGCGGAGCTTCTTCCCAAGCGTTCTCTTTAAAAATTGTTTATACTTGCATTGTCACAGCTCTCAGTTGTTTTATGATAACGTAGCACCTATGACGCGCTTTGGTGTCATTGTAAGGATACGTGTGACCTCGTAATGAGCTTGTTCAGTTACAATAGAGGCTTAACTAGCAAATTCTGTTGGCAAAACAAAGGCTGTAATTGTTCTGTCAACCACTCATCGATTGTCAGTGTCATGATGAGGATTTTTCGCTCCATCGTTTTCGGCCGCATGGCACAACTTGTCAGTCATTGGCTGTTGTTATGTCTATATCAGCCTAGGTTAGGCGAAGTCATACTTTAGGTCGACATGCTCTAGACAGCAGCTTTTGCCACGCTCGCTCGTGCAAGGGCTACTTTCAAAAACCGTTCGTAACTGCATTCAATCCATGCCCCTTCCTCCGACCGATGAGGTCGTATTTATCCATTTCATCGTCTCGGATTATAATTCGTTGAACTTTAAGCCAAGAGATAATCCAGACGTCTGCTTGGCTAAGCACCAGTTGTATACGACCCTAAGTCCTGGTCAACAGGTTTGCGCTAATGCACGTGCTTTCCTCATGGACAAGGTATAGTTTCATAATTTTTGTTACTACTTTTTATTAACCGGGGTTGTTTTTTTGATACGAAAAATTGATGCTTACAATATCTATCTTGCATATTGTACTATTATGTTAAGGAATATTCACTTCCTTTCATCATAGTATCAGCCGGTGCTCGTAAAGGTCAGCCATAACCTGCTACTAAATAATGCTACTGGCATAATTTTTAGGTAGGCTTGACCCACTTTTTAGGTTTCAATATTATGATCAAATACAAATAATAAACTAATGCACATTTTTAGGTTCTTTGCAATGATCCATTGTATCGGACCAACGAAACACGTCGTTAATTTGACGAAAAATTCAGCAAGTGAAATAAATGTTGGAGGTGGCAATTCAACTTTAAAATAGGCTGTTCCGCTTGAGAAGCATGACATCTGTTCCTCTGGACGAAGTACCGCAATGTAAACATAGCATAGATTTTGAACTTGAACAAAAGCCTAATATCATAACGCAGTATGTAGTGATACATATTAATGTCCTTGGCATCAAAACGTGACTCCTAAGGATACCGTCCATAGTGCTGTGTGCAAAGGCTCAAAAACTGTATACTTTTTGTAATAGGTGGCGTAGTAACATCTCAATATTAGCGCCAAGATGCGCAATCTATAATTTTGTCTACACGATTTGGTGTGCTTCTAAGGTGTTCGCCATTTTCACACGGCAGACACATTGTTTACAAAAACATTTCTAAGGCAAGCGCCAGTCTTTTTTTTTCCACAATTTTTCATAGCTTAAGGTCACGACAATTTTTACGTGTCTATATTGTGCGAAGATGTGGCATCCATACTATTAGATCAACGAACCAGTACAACCAATTGATTATGTTTATAAATAATAATAATAATAAATGAACTCTCTTAAAAAAATT